TTTTGTTCATTGTACAAGTATGTCATTTTGTCTGGATTTGAGCTAAAACGAATAATTAAACAAAATTCTACTAAAAATCTGATTGATTCTTATTATATCTTATTCTCAGTAATTGATTTTAATTGAAATAGTTACAAATATCAATAAATAGGTCCCCAAAAGAATATGAGAAAAACACCTTCAAAATAAACTCTTCAAGGCGCGATGACAATGACGCTCAACATCTGACAGGATTATTATTACGGCTTTATTCATGTTATACAGTCGCGGAAACGTGAATAAATATAGCAAATTTTTAAATAAGGACAATATGTCATTTTGTCCGTATTTCCACTACTTCTTAATGTGATCGTTGATTTATTATTTCATAATGGATGGAATTTAAATAGATAATATTGAATTAAGCAGATTAATATCGAATTATCAAAGTTCATTGATTCAATTTTTCAATTATAATTTTATATTATCGATATATTCTGATATTCATTTTATAAACAATTTATTTTGTCTAGCATTTTGTAAAAGTGAAGCAATAAATTTAAGTAGTCTTGAAATATTTTGGTTAATTAAGGTTTGGTTTATGAATTATATATAACAATATTATAAATATTATTGTAAACTAGTAAATATAATTACTAGTTTACTATTGTCAATATCCATTTTTTTGGTTCATTGCCACAAACTTAATATAATTAAAACAAACCTTATTTTAGTTTTATTTCATTTAGAGCGTTAAACAAAGCTATACTGTTACAAGAGAATATTTTCCCAAATTTCATATTTGAAATGTAGTTAAACATCATATAGGATTAATTAATTAACAATGAACAAATACTATTAGCTTTCATCTATCACCATTTGTCATGATTTATAATTTTTTTATAGGCAGGATTATGATTGGTAGCATAATTATTAGAGTTTTGTTCTTAAATATCTCAATGGCTTTGCATTCAACTGATTCCATGACTTTACTGGAAAACGTATTTTGTTTGATTATTTTATGTATTGATAAATAACGCAGTTTGAGATAAGATTTAAAATACATTGTTTTCCAGTTTGACTAGTAGTATGACATGTATGTCAACGTAATCTTACTGCAAATTCAAAAGTGTGTAACAAATTCTTTACTAAATGCACTCAAAAAATGGCTAAGTGCTATGATTTTTTGTCAAAATTGTCTAGTGTCGGTAAAGATCGGCCGAGTCGTTTCTTCGTAATTAAATGTTAAAATATTCTTTTTTGACAATTAAAAATATTAAAAATATAGATTAGTATTGATGAAGCATTAAGTCTTAAAAATAATTTAACTTCCTTTTACCAATAACCTAATCAGATTCGTTCGTTATGTAAATTTCCTAACGCACTTTTATAATTCATTGTTGTGTAACAAACCCGCAGATAATGATTGATATTTAACTAGTTTTTTCTACTGAAAGACAATACAATTGATAAAACAAGTCGGTTGATTAGTTTATATCCGTCGTTTGTCATTATTGGAATACCCATTTCATAAAAATAACGTCTGCTATATTTGCCCTCTGACTTGTTCCAGTTGTCATTACAAATCAAATGTTATCTTATAATAATGGAGCAAAATTAGTTCAGTGCAAGGAATCATTTTACCGCCTGATGGAGGACATGCAAGTTGTATATATTGGTTACAAAAAGTCTCTAATAAGTATCTAATTTTAAGGTATTAAGGAATATTTCGGACGTAAGAGCGCTTCCATAAAGTCTTCAACTATTTTTTATTTGTTGTCATCTAAAAGAAAAGCGTTTGCTAAGTAAAATCATGCTCAGTAGCATGACGAACGAAATTGGACATTTAAAGATGGTGCCGATCATATAATTTTAGGTGGAGTTTTCTAATCATGCTGAAAACTTACTTTGTTTCAATATCAAACTAGTGGGGCGCATGGCATCGTGCCTTAAGGCAAATTGCTAGAACTTCCAGTACCAAATTTTTTTTTTTTAAAGATTAACATTTTTGGAAAAAATTTACTCTGAAAAATTAGATTTTTGAGAAACTATAAACTTCTGTCAAAACTTTTCTATTTTTTGAAGAAAAGTGTATTTTGAAATATTTTGGAAATTCTGAACTTCTTTTTAAAGCAATCGTACTGCTTAACTGCATAGAGACGAAATATCGAAGCGCGTAAGCGCCGCGCCGCCGTCTAACGGATAAGCATTGGTACCGAATCCATAGCAATGTAAACAAAATTTATACTTATTGTTAAAATCTCTATAAAATATCTGATAATTTGATGTGCATATGTCTAATGATCATTTATGACCGCAAGATGGCATTTTTTTTTACTTTTTTTTACTAGATCTCCGAAACCGCTAGATCTGCCTTCATGAAAATTTGATCAGTTCTTTATCTTGTTAATACAAGTAAAATGTTTTTTGAATTATTCAAATCGGACGCTCCGTTCTCTTAAAAACTGAGTTACCGTTTTTGGCACTTTTTCCCCATATCTTCGGAACGGCTAGACCTGCCTACGCCAAAAACTAATCAGCACGTCTCCTTATCAATACGAATAGAATGTTTTTTGAATTATTCAAATCGCTTCATCCGTGTTCCCGAAAATTTGTATCCGAACACACATACACACACACACACACATACATTCATTTTTTCTAAGGTATGCCAAAATATTCAGAAACCTCTGAAATATAAAGATATATAAAAAAATTCATTTTCGATTTTTTTGCGATTACTATAACTTACCCTACGGGAAGTTAAAAACAACAATCAGACTTATTGACAGAACTCTATAACTTGTAGGGATAAATTACACCTAAAAAAAATTGAAGAGAGAAACGAAAAAAAACAAGTAAAAAAAACTCACAAAAAAAATTATTGATAGAACAAATGGTAGTATGTATTTGCCCCAATATGCAAATTACTATGGAATAGATTTTTTTCATATAAGATACAATTACATTGAGGATAGTTTGTTGTGAAATCTTCTTATAGACTGATGAGCATACATTAGGGTGACGGTAAATTTTGACATACACTACAAAAGGGATGTTGAGGTCATCAAGTATAATTTTTGTTGCTAACAATCCTTAGGGCATCAGTAATCATCCGTAGAGTTTTGGTTTGCAAGCGTTGAATCAATGGACTTAAAATAGTTAAATACCACGTTTGATTTACTACAACATCCCCACATTTCATAAATCTTTAGAGATTTAATTAGAAGTTTATTATCAATTTTAATTTGCAACAAATAAAAGCCAATTTAAAAGTTTTGAAATAGTAAGTTTAAGTTCGATTAAACTTACACACAAACCGAGAATTATTAGAAGCCTACAAAATAGTTTATTAATAACGCTGAGTATACTGTTATCACGGTTTATCTGTTTGTTTTAATTAAATATTAAATTCTACATATACAACAAAATGAGATCACACTCAACGCGAATCTAAATGCTCGCAGAGTTGTTTGCATTTGGAATCTTCCAACATACAAATCTTTTGCAATATTTTAAGTTTAAATAGTTTTAATCAAAGGTGATTGAATCAAGTTATTTGAAAATTTGACTTCAGTACTATTAGTGCAGTAAACGGAGCGTTTTAGGTCTTAATTTTTTTACTGTGCTCCGAATTGAATGAAATTTTGGAATTAGGTTCATCTTACCCTCAAGTTCAAAAGTGAAAACAATTCGGGTTGCGCCATTACCCCCGGTGGAATGACACCCCTTCTCAATTGTGTAATTACATTTTTTCAAAATAACGTCGGAAATCGATGGAAGAACTAATTATAAGAAAAAAATGTCTTTTATAGTTTTTCAAAAAAACTAATACTTTTCAAGTTACTGGCCACTAAAGATTCATATATTTTTAGCGTTTTTCTTCGTTTCTTTGCAAATATCTCCTAAAATGTACATTTTAACGATGAATCATGTAATGAACAAAGTAATGTCAATAAAAATCTTAATAAAACGGTATTACATAAAGTGTTCTAGGAAAAATATTAAGCAAGGTTTGAAAGAACAAAGTCGTTTTTTATTTCTTTCAAGATTTAATTTGTTGTATTTAAAGCCATCTAGTGTCGAGGTTTTACATTTTATGCATTTCGGCGAAATTGGGTTTTTTAGTGCTCAACGTAAGCTTTAAAATGAGTGCTGTTCCAAGTTTTTTGCGCGTAAAATGAGTGAGCTATCATGCATAAGAAGCATATACGAAGTTTTTTTCGCCATTTCCACCAGAATTAAAGTAATTCACATTCCATCTAGAATTCACTTCATTATAGACATCTTGATGAATTCTAGCAAATTCACTACTTTAGTACAAACTATTTTCAGAAAACTCACGATTTTATAAAACAATTTTTTCAATACAACAATTAAATCTTGAAAGAAATAAAAAACGTCTTCGCTCTTTCAAATCTTGCTTAATATTTTACCTAGAACACTTTATGTAATACCGATTTATTAAGATTTTTATTGACATTATTTTGTTTATTACATGATTTTCGTTGAAATGTATATTTTAGGAGATATTTGCAAAAACACGAAGAAAAACGCCAAAAATATATGAATCTTTAGTGGCCAGTAACTTGAAAAGTATTAGTTTTTTTTTTAAATTATAAAAGACATTTTTTTCTTATCAGTTCTTCTATCGATTTCCGACGTTATTTTGAAAAAATGTAATTACACAATTGAGAAGGGGTGTCATCCCCCCGAGGGGTGATGGCGCAACCCGAATTGTTTTCACTTTTGAACTTGAGGGTAAGATGAATCAAATTCCAAAATGTCATTCAATTCGGAGCACAGTAAAAAAAAATCAGAGGTTATACCCTTTTTTCCTCTCTGTTTACTGCACTATATAATGAATAATTAATTAAAGTTTTCGTTTATAAAATAGTGCTTAATGCTATAATATTACATTGCAGTTTAATTTTTATAATATGACTCTGACCATCGGCAAGCTTTGCGCCGCCTTGTGTCGTCGCAAGTCTTTGTCAAAGGCCAGCGGTGAAGATCCGGTGAGCGCTCCCGAAGGAACAACTCGTCTCGGGCGGGTGCTGAACTTTGCCGATCTTACTGCGCTGGGGGTAGGTTCAACCTTAGGCGTGGGCGTATATGTGCTGGCTGGACATGTTGCGCGTGATGTTGCTGGACCTTCAGTTGTAATATCCTTTGCTATAGCGGCGATAGGCAGTTTTCTTGCAGGTATGTATGATAGAAAAGTCAAGTGTAGTAATCGACTTTCCTAATATTTAGTTTTATTTCATCATGATACGTTAAAAAAATAACTGCTCTATTAAGATTAGTTTCAATTAACACTCCAATTCGTATTTTTCTTTAAAAAAAATCTATTGGAAAATAATTAGGCTGAGTTGAACAACCTAAAGGTGCGATTGTGCCACTTTCTTGATCAGCTATTATTTTGTTAATTTACCAGTTAGCTAGGAGAAAAGTAAATCTAACAAAAATATAGAAATAATACTGTCCTTAAATATATTTTTAATATTAAACCATACAAGAAAAGGGCAAATGCCACAATTGTTCATACCTGAGGGGCGGTTGTAAAGAGTGAAATTTGAATTGAGAATTTTGTTTAAGATTTTTCTATTCAATTTATTTACTTTATATACGAGTAGGATAGGGCGGGGCTAGTTGAGCAAATTTTCACTTAAACGGATGTAGCTCATCAATGAAAAGTCTAAATAAATTGCTATAAGGCTTAATGGATTTGTTGTTTATCGCTTAACAAAAGTGTTGATACTATTTTTTGGTAATAAGTAAAATTTAAAAGCTACAGCTGTTTAAATGCAAAAAGTCAAGTATGCTCAATATACCCCATATATGGGGCAAGTTGAGCACTAAGAAAGTATAATGAAATCACAGGTTCAATGTCGATTAGGTATGTAATAAAATTAGTTTTTAATAACCAGTTCTATATTTATAGTCTTTATTGACAGAGAAAACAAAACTTATAGTAATTTGCTTTAAATAATTAACGAAAAGTAGAATCAACAAAACAATATCGTATCTTAGGAATTATTTTACCATTATATTCAGTATTTTTGTTTAAAATCATTATTTCTTTATATTATTACTCATAGACTTAGCTTAAATCTTAAAAATAATAATTAATTTCTGGAAGTTAATGGTAATTGTCTTAGTGACAGAACAAGTTTAGCAACTATGCTCAACTAACCCCAACTCGGAATTTCAAAATAAAAGTGAGTTTATAAAAAAAACGTGAGAATTATACCCAGAATCTCTGTGCATATTGAAAGTACCATAATTATATGGAAGAATAACATTTACCTGATTAAAAATAAATAACATTTGACTAAACCAGACGAAAGCTCGTGATGAATGACTTTTTTACTTTTTGGTCTCAAAATAAACAAAACGCCCGTGAGCCTCACTCATTTGTCCAGCGGCCACTAGCGATCGCGGGATGTTTATTTCTTCCAAATCTCTATCTTTCCGCCATATAATGTCTAAACGGACGGTGAATAGTTTGAGATATTTCGATTGCTCAACTTGCCCCTATGCTCAACTAGCCCCGCTCTACCCTACTTTGTATACGAGCATTTCTTACTATGACTATATGGTATCTACCAGGGGCGTAGCGTGCTTTGGTGGGGCCCCGTATCAAAATGTGTTCGAAGGCCCCTCAAGAAGAATTTTTTTTTCACAAAATATAGAAATACATAATATTAAAAGAATATTTGTTTATCATTCTAATTATTTGGTCTATCTAATTTTCTCTAATTTTCTGAATTTTTCACAAATGATTCCAGATATATTTCCACTCTCCTTACCTTTTTTTTGAAAAACTGACTTATTTAGTGATCTTTAAATTTTATGAAGTTTCTGTCTCTAGGAACATACAGGTTGACATTTATGTCCTAAAGTATTTACGTAATTTTTAATTAGTTTTAATTAAAAATTTTTTTAGCAGTTGCGTTTTTAACTGTAAATTGTAAAGGGCAAGGAAAAAATGCATACTGTTATTTCGTTGGGAAAACTGGATGCAAGCCTATTGCATCCATCATTGTACCTTAATGAAATACATTTCTTAGATTTGTGTATTCAAACCTATTTCTAGAACTATCAATTGGTCATGGTCATATGAGATATTTTACAATATTTCTTTACAGTGATTCGACAGTTTTCCGGAAATGTTTATCAATTCTCGATTTCAAAAAGACAAATGTTACTTCTTACGTCGCAAAGGTTTTGAAATCTTTGTTTGGTTTGTGAAATTATATATCTAAACAGCAATAGTATACATTAAAATAAGATTTCGGGTCTAAAATTCTCTCTCTTCATCAATAACGCTTCATTATCTTTTGTATTTGGTTCTTTGAAATAGTTATTGCAATCCATCTTTTTTTGCGAATTATTTGTACTTCTTCAACAAACTATTTCAATAAATTTTCATATGTTAATTCGCACAATCTATTCAAAAGATTACTTAATAAAATACTAGTTTTTTGTAAGTCATTGCTGGCGTGTTGTAAAGTTTCAGAACAGAAACTTATATTTTTAAGCAGTGAAGAAAGAAATCTGAAAATGATTTAATTGATCATATTTATCAAAATCTAACTATTAAACTGACGCGTCATGCAGACAATTCAAGTAGTAACGACAACAAACAAAAAACGATATAAATATGAATATAAAACTTCCAAATTCCTATTTAAGATGAAGAACGTATAATTTGAATTAGTTTTATAGATTTGTTAACTTATCGAATGTGGAAAAGCTTTACTAATTGAATTGATTGCTAGAGCTTGCAGAAATATTGCAGCAGGAATAGATTTTCGCGTTAGCTTACAAGTTGAAGTTCAATACCTTTCGATAAAAAAAGGAAATGCAAACTACGTTAAAATTATTAAATTGTTTGAAAAAATGTAGTTTTGCTTTCTGCTTGCGCTCGTTGGGAGCCCCCTTGGCTCGGGGGGCCCGTATTTTTGATACGGCTGATACGGCGGTAGTTACGTCCCTGGTATCTACACAGGTAGTTTTACACTACTTGTATAGAAGTATTTTTCATTAAATTTATCTGCTTATGCAGGTCTCATATATGATCATTCATAATTTTATCTTATTGGATTTAATATAAGTATATAGGGCACAATATATTCTTTTTTCAGTCAACAATATTATGAAATTAGTTAAAAGGAGAAGTTTTTGTCTTATTATTGTTTAGGTTTATGCTACGCTGAATTCGGAGGGCGCGAACCATGTGCTGGATCAGCTTACACTTATTCATACATTTGTTCTGGAGAATTAGTCGCATTTATCATTGGATGGAATCTGATACTGGAATATGTTATAGGTAAGGTATTTTTTTTAATAATTTTTAATATATTTTGTATATGATTGATTTTACATTATTTTTTATGTTATTTTAAATCTACAGTTTTTCTCGGCCTTGAAGTATAATGTGAATTTCTTTCGTGATTATTTTATTCAAACTTAAATTGCTGTAATCTTCTACCACTCTATATAAAAATTGCTACTTAACATAGCCTTGCCATAACATTGGCCTATTTTACGGCAGAATCGGCTCGATAATGACAAATATTGGGTAAAGTAAAAAGTTCGTTTTGTTTTCCGCAATAGACGGTTTAGTTACATTCAGGAAGTGCAGATCGCAGGGTCACCAGTAAACCCTCGTTAGAAAGGTGACACTTCGTGCATTATTTTGGTATAACCAAATAAATCGATCAAGTAGTTGAAAAGTTATTTGTGTTTGAAAATGGAGAAAACTAATGAAAAAAATCGCTATATTTTGCAAAATTATTATGATAGAGGGAAGAACGCGGTGCAGGTTTGTGAAACAAATTATGCTGTATAATGTGAAGGTACTTCATCTAAATCTGCTACTTGGAGATGACTCGCTTGTTTTCGTTCTGGTAATTTTAATGTGAAGGATGTACCGCGTTCCACTCGTCGAATCAATGAAAAAGTTGTTGAAATTGTTTAAAAAAGTAGATCAAGATACCAAGATAATTAAATCAGCTCAGTCGACATAAGGAGGGAACTAGCCATTGATCAGAAAACTGTTTTTAACCAATTACATAATTCTAAGTACAAAAGGAAGCTCGATGTGTGCGATCTTCATGAGTTGGGTGCGAAGAACTTGATAGACCGAATCAACATCTGCGCTGCTGAAATGCAATGAAATCGAACCATTTCTGAAACATTTCAAAACTGGTAAGACGAAGTAAATTATATATGATAATCGGAGGCGAAATAAATCTAATGATGATGAGGGTCGACAAACGTTTAAGTCAGGAATGACACTAAAAAAGGTGATGCTGTGTTTGTGGTGCGACTGGAAGGTAATCGTCAATCGTGTTCTACTTCCAGTGACCTGACCAGACCATTAATTATCAATTCTACTGTAAATAAATAGAGAGATTACACCAGATAATTGAAAGCAAGCGGCATCAATTGAAGATATTGTCTGATGATATGCCAAAAGTTGCGAAAGCTAAGCTGAGAAATTTTTATGCATCTACCATATACTCCATATATAGCGCTCTCTGACATTTGTTCCGATCTCTGTAAAACTATCTTAATAGTATTAAACTGATTTCAAAAGGAGCTTTCCAAAAACACTTGAATCAGTTTTTCAACCAGAAACCATAGAAGTTTTTCACCGATGGCATCATGGCTCCATTCGAAAATTCAGTTTGAATAAATGTATTTTCACACAATAAAAAAACTGGTCGAGTTTTGCTAAATAAACGAAACGAACTTTTCACTTGACGTGTATTTTTTTGTATTTTGGCCTATTCTAATAAAGTTTTTCATTTACATTTTTAAAATTAGGTAGTGCCAGTGTAGCGCGAGGTGTTAGTGTTTATCTTGATTCGATACTGGATGGTGTCATAGGAAAGGCTTTTGCTTCATTCGCACCTCTATCACTTTCCTTTCTTGCTGGTCATGTGGATTTTTTGGCTTTTATATTAGCCGTCTTATTTGCAGGTATGTTTTTATGGGTTAAAGATATTTTATTCCGAAAGCAATTTTTCCAAAAACTGGTTATTAATATAGTTCTACTAACTTGCAAATTTTAAAAAATATTTATGCATTTGTGACCAAGGTGTAAGTATTTAAAATTCCCTGATCGACAAACTAATAATTTGTTATATTTTTTTATGCTTGCCGATCGATATTTTTTGCTTAATTTCTGTTATCTGTAATGTTAACAAATATTTCTACCACGTAAATAATTTAACACTAATTGTAGGAATACTTTTTTCATTATATTTAATTTCATGATAAATGAATTAAAAAATAATTAATGAATATGAATAATGTTAGAAATACGTGTTAATAATTGCTTGTAATTATAACATTGTTAAAGAAAGTTTCAACTGTTAAAGGTTAAATTATGCTTTTTGTAGACGTATTATCAAATTATGTATTATGAAATTTTATTTAAATATAGATGCATAAATAAGTATTATATTTTCTAACGATTGTAATTTTACATTTTATTATAGCATTAGTAATATTTTTATTGTAATTTGGTTTTCACAGTGGCTTTAGCTTTAGGAGTGAAAAAATCTACAATGGTCAATAACTTATTTTCATTGTTGAACTTGATCGTCGTGGTGTTTGTTATAATTGCTGGAAGCATAAAGAGTAAGTTTAATTGTATAATTTTATTATAATATTTTTAAATCATTTCATGTGCATTTATCACAATTCTACCAATATTGAGTCTATACCGTGTATATATGTATATATACAAAACGAGTGAAACTGTGTTAAATAACATGATTTTATTGCCACAGTCACCTCAATTCAAATGAAAACTATGATCAAAACATACCAGTAACTTAGCAAAGCTTAAAAAAGCTTGTTCTGATCGTAAAAACATAAATGCATTAGTTTGAAGTTGAAACCAATATTGACTGTAAGGTCACCAGTCATAAATTCACCAAACTATTCTTGATATCTTTCAGGCATTTAGCAACAGATCTTCAAACGAATGTTTGTGTCTTATTGTTTATTCATTACAGATACAGATAATTATTTCACATTTTCTAAAAATTTGAGAATGCGTGAATTCAAATAAGTACCCTTCACTTAACTTTTTGTGAGCCCGCCATTTATTTTCTGAGCCCATAATATAAATTTAAATCTGGAGTTTGAGATCACCGAGCAATTAGCAGTAGATGCCTCCGGAGTATTTGCTTCGTAGCTTCCATCCAGTGACTGACGCTAAAATACTGACTGTATAATGTCAGGCAACACTAAAAGACACTACTATTTTACTAAACACATACATCAACAGACTGACTTACCGACAGTATACAATTACATAAAAAAAGTTTACTGAGAATTTCTATAAACTCTATCATCATGCTCTATCAAGTTTTATCAAAATACCAGAAGAGTAAAACTGAGGTTCTTCTTGTTAGATGTAGGAATCACACTAACGTCAACATTTGGCACTTGACCAATTCACTAAATAAATAGTTTAGTACGTCAAACAGACCATGCCAAACAATATTCTGATCAACCCATAGGAAAAATTGGAATACACATATTATTAAAAATATGTCTTTGTGATTTTTTTGAGAAAATGTCATCCTTTTCTTTTTTGAGTCACAATATACTGTTATTATATATTATGTACAAAAGTACTGATGATATAAAGAAAACTGTTTGGTATGATTTCTTTTACATACCTATCACACAACTGTTTAGTCAAAAAAGTAATATATATTGCTTATTTTTTTATGGAAACGGTTTCAACTATTCATAACAGAATCAATAAATAATAAGACTGATGTTCTTAATAAAATGTTTTAAATTTTACGATACTGACTTTTAGTCGATATCAAAAATTGGAAAATCAAGCCTGAGACGTTGCCTGCAGTCGTGCAAGCTACCCAGAACATTGGATCTGGCGGATTCTTCCCATTCGGTGTGATGGGAACAATAAAGGGCGCTGCAACTTGTTTTTATGGTTACATCGGCTTTGACTGCATTTCAGCAAGTGGCGAAGAAGTTCAAGAGCCAAGAAAAACCATACCACGTGCAATAATTGCAACACTGGTAATTGTTTTCATCTCGTACTTCGGCGTTTCTGCAGTGATAACACTTATGTTGCCTTACTACGATCAGGTTAGTGGTTTATAATTTTATAGTAATTATCGTCCATTTTGTGTTTTTAAATGTTTTAAAATGTTTAAATGTTGTAAATATTCATTCCAACGATTTTTAACTTTCCGAAGGAGAAGTTTGTTTTCATCAAGAAATACGATTCGCTAATTTTATATTTCCTCGATGTTTCAAGCCATTCTGAATCGAATGAGAGCAAATTTGGAAAAAGTATGTGTGTGCCTGTGCACCAACAGATTTTTTACCGTAAATCGCCGTTTCCTTAAAAACGGCTGGATCGATTTCAAAAATTTGAAAGGCATTTGATGTATGTCGACGAGAACTATCGTTTGTCAGTTTTGTGTGACGATCGGCCGAGACGTTTTTTTATAAATAGCAGTCAAAAACCGTTTGAAAGATATTGGTTGGGAATCGCGCTGATTAGTTTTTGGTAAAGATCGGCCGGACCGTTTTCTTGTAATAAAGTGTTAAAAAAATTTTTCGACGATTTTTATTAATATTTTTTTGACGGTAGATACCATAGTCTTCTAGATCATACTAAAATATTACGGCCCTACGACAATTGGTTTAACTTTAAAAATTCGTCAAAGTTTGCAAAAATTGGTATCGCTTTTTTTGGCATTTGTCAAAATTAGACCTTTCATCGACGTTTTCTCAAAAACGCCTGAACCGATTTCAGAAAATTAAAAACCATTTGATGGAGTATCGTTTGTCAGAAAAAAAGCTAGTGGGGTATGGCATCGTACCTTAAGGCGAATTGCTGGAACTTCCCGTAACGTAACGAAACATTCGAGGAATACTGAATGTTTTTAAATAGGATATTATTAATTTGTAACATTGTCTAATATTTATAAAAATTATATAAACTGAATTGCAAAGTAGAAATTATTTATTTAAGGTATATTAGAATAGTCAAAATTCAAAATAAAATCTGAATTATTTTCGATATACAAAAAAAAGTTTTTTTGAAAAAAAAAGTTGAAACAAATTTTTTTTTCCAAAATCAATTATTTTTTTAAGACAAGCAGAAAGTTCTTTGAATCATTTAAATCGGACACTTAGTTCTCTCAAAATCTGCCATTTTTTACACATTTAGCTCCGTATCTTCGAAATGGTTGGGCCTGCCTTTGCCAAAAACTAATAAACACTTTTCCCAATCATTACTAATTGAATGTTTTTTAAATCACACATCCATTTTTTCTGAGGTATGCCAAAATGTTCAGAAACCTTCAAAACGTCGAGAAATGTAAAAATTTTCAATTTCGATTTTCGGCCCATTACAATAACTTACCCTACAAGAGGTTAATTAAGCTGATTTTTATGGAACTTTTTTTGGCGATATATACTATGGTCTTATAGAACTTACTGAATCATTACGGCCTTACGACAAGTAGTTGTTTTATTTTAAAAATTCATCAAAGTTTGAGGAAAAGAGAAGTTTTTTTGACGTTTGTTAAAATTAAAATTAGACGATTCACTTGGTGTAATGGTAGAGTAACTGGTCTTATAAAACATACTAAACTAAACTAAATTTTTGAAAATTTGATTTAAGAAAATACTTCGAGTTAACATGTTCGTTCGTTTTCAGTTATGTGTAATAAATCCACTCGGAATACTTTTAATCACTCATAAATTAATTTATTTTTTATTGATTAAGTCGATTATTTACACATATCGGGAAGTTTATGTAACTTGCCTCAAGGCAAAATACCAATACCAACTAGTTTCAATATGTTTGGACATCTATGCAGCGTATTCATTGCTAGCGTTAATGAAATTACTCAAGCTGTCTACTGTGTGAACGAATATTATAGAATTTATTAATCAGCAATTACTTCATTTCTCTATTGATGGATGCTAATTCCAATGATAAACCGATCATGTCGTGTTTGAAGTATGACTTTAATTGCATTATTGTATTCAAATATTATAAATATTTGTAATGTTATTATAAATTTATAATTTATTATTATATAAATATGTATAATGGTTGACACTAATAAATATGTGCCTCACGAGTGTTACCATATTACTGATGAACATTATTCATAATTATTATATATAATTATTTTTAACTTATATGCTATCTCGTACAATAGCAAAAAAGTTTTACTTCAATCGCGTGTGAACCTTACGCGCACTCTTTTTTTTCAAGTCTTTTTGTAATTAACATTTTTATATTTTTCCAAAGAATCGTGATGCGCCATTGCCTTATGCGTTTGCTGCTGTTGGATGGAATTTTGCAAAGTGGATAGTTGCTATAGGAGGTCTTTTCGGTTTAATCACTAGGTAAAATAAACACATTTGTTTTCAATGATATATATATATATATATATATATTATATGATTAAGAATATATATATATATATATATATATATATATATATATATATATATATATATATATATCGTAGAAGATGATGAGAACTTTCTTATATTAAAACCTTCACTAACCTATTCGAAAATGATCTCATAGAATTTTCTTTTAACAAAGATAGATTTCATATATTCAAATGATTCGAAAACTTTGACTTTTCAGTTTGTTTGGATGTATGTTTCCACTGCCTCGTATTTTGTATGCCATGGCCTCTGATGGATTGATTTTTAGATTTATGGGCCGCGTTAGTGATACATATAATACACCCGTCAGTGGAACAATTCTAGCTGGATTACTTACCGGTAAGGTCATCAAAGAAACATCACATTTTAATCATCCTCAGAAAATTCTAAAATTGTTTTTACTTTAAGATTTATAACTGAAATTAAAGGTAATTTTTTAAGGGCGGAGCCTGCTTTAGAGGCCTAAAAAGTTCGATTATATTTTTGCAAAAATGTCTTCCAAAACTAGTGAAGAATATTAGAGCCTAAAATTTCAGAAACAAATTCAAATTATTTTCGGAATTACAAAAGAAATAATGAGCTTCGCCAAGGGAACGAAAACTTCGACGCGCGATTTCTCGGTTTTTAATTTTTTCGATTCTTACTAATTGGCCGGAATTATATGAAACGAACTAAACGCCCCATCAAAACGAGGCAAAATTCAATGTATTCAGGATTAAATTCTATTCTAGTTGAACTTAAAAAAACTTTTAAAAAATATAAATAATCCACTTTTTAAACAATCTAAAGTGAAATCAAAGTATCAAAAAATATTACTTTTTTTTCAAGTTGCAAAAAATTGGTGAATTTCTCATTTTTTTCTGGATTTTTCAGATTCAATTAGAATCTATTATTGAATATATATATTTGCTTTGATTTTTTTGTTTCGGATTGAAATTATGACCAGCATCTTTCCCTCCAAAAGACACCTGCACACTCGTTATGCATATTTTAATGAAACATTTTTGGAAGAATGTTGATATATGTAGCAATAAAACCTGAAAGTTTTGTATGAATTAAATATTATTTCTCTCTCTAAAAATTATTTAAAAAAAACGATTTTTTGAAGCCTCTAAAGCAGGGTCCCCTCTTAATGAAGGACAGAGTGCTTTGATTTGCAGATTTAAAATGATTTATTTAAAATGAATTCATATTTATTATAAGTTCTTTCTGGTTTGATGTTTTATAATTATAATATACTCATTTCAGGTTTGATGGCTGCGTTGTTTGATCTAAATCAGCTGGTAAATATGATGTCAATAGGAACGTTAACTGCCTATACGATGGTCGCCGCATGTGTACTTTTGTTAAGGTTAGTTATTATTTGAGGTTATTTACATTATATATTATTTAGGAATAAATTATTTTTATATAAACAAATAATATTTTTTTAAGTTTTTTTTATTGTTAGTTGGTATAAATTAGTCTAATATCTGTGCACTCTTCTAATTGTTTGAAAAGTATCATTATATCATTTACATCCATCATCACATAATGCTGTTTTTGATCATTGCACAACTATTATTTATCGCTATATTATATTTTTTCATTCACAAATCTAAGCAATTTTATTTTATTTTATTTTAGTCATTATACTTACAGTAATGTTTTATTATGTTTTGCATAATCAATCATCACAATGGAGTATAAATTTCATGAGATTCACAAAATATGAATGTGTTATTAATTATAATATAATAAGATATGCGTCAAAAATGTAATGAATAAATCGAGTTCATAAAATTATTGGAGATGAATATTATATAAAAATGTGGTTTTGGTTTCTAGGGTCTATCATTCAGTGTCATGTTTCAATGTATGTGCTCGTCCAAAGCTTTTTCATTTTATAGATATGAATACCCAGTTAAGGTATACCATGCATCAGATTCAGCAGCTGAAAGTGAAAGTGAAATGCTGTTATCCAATCATAAAGCGAATAAGCATGAAGAAGTCGAAGACTCTGAAGTTGAATCAGATGAACCCGGTAAAGAGTGAGCATTGGAGTTCTAACCATGCCTATTTTTAGGTTAATTTAGATAAAGCATGTGAGAATGCATGGAATGACTTTTTATAGTTTGGCCTGCTATATAACATAATTGTCAATATAGCATGTTGATAGTACCTGCTTCTTGGTAATACCTTTTTGATAAATATTCTCAAAAGGCAACTGTTTTAATTTAGTATACTTCATGTAAATTTATTTTAGCTAACTGGTTTATAAATCCCATTTTAAACTTCTAATAGTAGTGCTTTTGATTCTTCTCGTCTTGTAGCATGTAACAGTCTATGTCAAATTAAACATTAGATTTTTAAAAACATCTTCTATTTTGTTTTCACATTAATTTTTGTAGTAACTTCAAAAAAATTTAAATTAATCATCAAGCTAGGTCGATGAAGTTTACAAAAAAAATATTGTTTATACACAAAAGATCTCTTTTTATAATATTTCATAACTATTTGTGACTCAATTTGAAAGTTTGATCTAAATAGCTAAATTTCAATTATTACTAATTAAGTCCATTACTCACACATATCAGGAAATTCATGCAACTTGCCTTATGGCAAAATGCCATTTACAACTAGTGGTTTGCTTTTATTTACAGGTATGACGCTTCCGATTCCGATAACTACACTAGTACACCACCTCAAGAAAGAAGTGCTCTAGTTTCGAAAAATAAAATTGTTAAACACAATTTGCGGAATGTATTGTCGCAAGTGATAAATAGAGAAGGTTCGACTACCCCGACGTCTTTGTCACAATATGTGTTCAATTGGCTCATTTGCATATACGGTAAGTAGGTTAAAATTTTTTTGTGAATTATCTTTCATTACGATTACAGTAGCCACTCGTTTTCAAGACAAACTTTTGCAAATACATTCAATTAACACTTTCTACTCGCGAATTCCGAGATTTATATGAATTTTGCCACCGGCGGTATCCGAGTCAAAGGGGTTAAAATACATTTTGGCTTTATATTAAAACTAGATGATCCGATAGACATTGTTCTGTCCTACGTCTACAATTCAAAAGTTCCAATTTTTTTTTACTATTCTATCCTATACTTTTTACTATTCTATTTGATGTCCTGCCTTTATGATTCATTTCTAGTCTTAGCATAAGCAGTATAAGAAATTCAGAAAAAAATAATATAGAATCTGCGGTAAAAGAACAATATACACACTTGATTTTACCACACAACATAATTGATCAATAATTTAGTCTATATTTTTCATAATCTCGTACGATATATTGGTTGCTGTTGTGCAATTATAATTTCTAAAGTACATTTTCTTACTAATAATGTAATCATTTTAAATTTTTCTTACTAATGATTTAATAAACATTATTGTTTATGTTTAAATCTTAGATGAATTAATTTGTAAAATCTATAGATTTATAGTTTCTATCAGCACTCTTTAATTTAAGATCAACTTGCTAAATATTCCATATCCAAAGCCAAACAAATGAATTTTTGGCACATGAACGAAAATTCTAAATCACTTTTTTTTGATAAGTAGAAATATTTTTTATATTGCTAAATAATTTAATGAAGTAAACAAAAATGCGACATGCATAAGTGTAAAAAATGTATATGCAATTTTGTACTTATTGCGTTATTTATTAAACTGAATTACATAGTTTCATCTGCCAAACAAATACTGTTGACTGTATCTTATATTATTTTAATTTAATTTCAGTTCAATTCAATTCAACTCAGCTGCTTTTGGGCAATAATAATATAGAAATTACATTTTCTTGTATATTGTATTCTAATATTATCTAGGCTCATAATTTCGGCTAAATTCAAAGTTTAAGTGAATTGAGATTTCTAGCAGATGACAGTTCAAATGTTTTCAATATTCATCAATGATAAGTCTTTTTTTTGTAATTTTTGCCATTTATTTCTACAATTACTATAATTTTATTCTTTATTGAATCTTAAAAATTTCTTTGGCAAATTTCTTTCTTTGACAAACTCTAAGAAGAATTATCAAGATCCGAATAACCGTTTAGGAGAAGTATCAAATTATACACTCGTAAAGAATTTTATATATAAGATCAGTTTTACGCATTGTTGTCTGTAAATAGGTTTGCGACGATTTTTTCTGACATCTATTGAAAATTAGTGGTTAATGGCGTTATATCTCAAGACAAGTTGCTCGAACTTTCTGTACCGTAATTTAAAATTTCGAAAAGATTAGAAAGGAAAAATTAGATTTGTTGAATTGAGCGGCGAGCTGAATTTTGAGCGGCATTTTGTAATTTTTGATTTTTGAACATTTTGATTTTTTTTCTAAATTTTGATACCCAAATACAAGTCGGTTTAAATGTTGAGATTGTCGAAGACATTTGTTTGAACTATATATGCTAGCTTTATAGATTTCTTGATGTGGAATGGTAACAAAATTGGTACTTAAATAAAATCTCTATAAGATATCTGATAATTTTATATGCTCTCAAAAAGGTCGGCAGAAAATTATATCCGCATATAGATAACTACACACATACACATGCATATATTATTACCAGAATGAATATTAGATTACTGTTATGGATTTTAGCAAAAACATTATTTTTACAAAAAATATCGTCTAATTTATTAATTATAAATAAATACGATATAAATTAGTCAATAAACGATTATGTTCAGAAAACTTATTCATAAAAATATATAAGATTAAAATTGTAAATATTTATATCAAAGAAGTAATATTTCGGACAGATGATATATTTCAAATTATTATCCCCGATTTATATATTTTATATCATGTGTTTATGTGTTCTTGGTATAATTAACTTACTGAGAAATAACCATAATTAAATGGACCTTAATACAAACTTTGGCCATTTCATCAGATTAGAAATGTGTGTTTTGCACATTTATATATTTATGTTTCAAATTATTATTTGAAGTATTTTAACCTTTATTTTTCTGTTTATTTTATAATTTTTTTATTTACTTTTTATACCAGAATCTAATTTATATTAATTTAAAAAATACATTGTAACATATAAATGGACTCAATGAATGATATGATATGGATATAGAATCAAGATCAACATGAGTAGCATGTAGAATGCATTTGTATATAAAATCTTTTCCTTGCCAAACATTAAGTATGTATTTTCTCATGTATAAATGTTTTTAAAATTTATGTTTTGTTGAATTATGACTTGTTGAATCTGGACTATATTAAAGTTATTGTATTGTATGAAGGAAGGCAACCAATGGTAATGTGGATGGCAAAGTTATGATTATTATTATTTAATCGTTGTATTGTCTACGCTTTTAATTTGTATAAACATTTTCTGCATTCTATTTTAAGGAATTCTTTGTCTGGCTCTCGGTTTAAGTCTAGTTTATGGCGAGAAGGCACTAAGCAAATTGGAGCCATGGATAATCGTCTTATGTACCTTCTTGTCATTGCTTCTGGTGTTAAACGTCTACGCCATGGCTCGGCAACCCAGTAGCGGCAAACCAGACACATTCAGTGTAAGCTAATTTTTAAATTTAAACTACAAAAGTAGTAAAGCCAACCCTCCGATTATGCAAACTCTTCAATATGAACTTTTCAATTTCATTTAAACAATTTAGAGTTTATCATATCTTTTGCATTTATTGGTCATCAATAACGCGGTACAAATGATGTGATTTGTACTGATTATGAATTTTTTATAGCGCGGTTTTCATACAACGCACTACGAATTAGTCTGGATCGTGCGCGTTAAATCGGAGTTTTTATATGGTTTCCATATTAAACTCACTGCGTTATCGGAGGGTTGAGTATACATAAGCAGGACACATTGTTTGTTCCAGAAAATTGATCCGCTAACTAATAAAAAATGTAATTAGTGCTGCATATGTTGTGCTTTAAGGTAAATTGATGGAACGCCCTGTACCAAAAACTAAATTATTAAAAAAAACTTTGGTAAACTTTGAAAAAATTAGATTTTTGAGAAAATTAAAAATTTTTGAAAATAACTTTTGAAAAAAAAAATTTTCTATTTTGATTTTTTTTGTATTTTGATTTTTCATGAAAACTTTGAACATTTTTTTAAGCGATCGCGCTGCATAGCTGATTTGGTGTCAAAGCGCATAAGCGTCGCGTAGTCGTCTAACGTGTAAACCCATATAAATGTACACAAAATTTGTAATTATTATTACAATCTTTATAAAATATCTTATAGTACGATGTACATATGTGTAATGTTTATTTTTGACATTATTTTTATTGGATCTCCGGAGACGCTGGACCTGCCTTGACAAAAATTTGACCAGTTTTTCATTTCGTCAATACAAGTAAAATATTGATTGAAGTATTAAATCAGATGCTCCGTTATCTCCAAAACTGATATACCATTTTTGGCACTTTTTGCCCCGTATCTCTGAAAGGCTAGGCCTGCTTCTGCCAAAAACTAATCAACACGTCTCCTTATCAGTAGGAATCTATTGTTTTTTAAATCATGCAAATTGGTTGATCCGTGTTCGTAAAATCGTCGACGAAAATATGAATCCGCACACACATACACAAACGCACACACACAAAAGGTTGAATTTTTTATTATTTTGATTTTTTTTTTTGAAAAATCAATTGAAGAGAATCAATATAATAATTTTTATGAAAGCGTTTTATATCAAAATTTTATTATCAATACACAAGAATAATTAAAGTAGTTTCACTGTTAATTCAAATGTAAATTTTTAAACACCTAGGTACTGCGGAACTCTAGATTGTATAAAATTATTAACTTCCCTAGGGTAAGTTATTGTAATGGGCCAAAAATCGAAATTGAAAATTTTTACATTTATCGATGTTTTGAAGGTTTCTGAACATTTTGGCATACCTCAGAAAAAATGGATGTGTGTGTGTGTATGTATGGATACAAATTTCGAGTCATGTTTTCGGGCGCACGGATCAACCGATTTGAATGGTTCAAAAAGTATTCGATTCCTATTGATAGGGAGATGTGCTGATTAGTTTTTGGTAAAGGCAGGTCTAGCAGTTACGGAGATTAAGAGCAAAGAGTGCAGAAAATAGAAATCGAGTTTTTGAGAGAACGGAGCATCCGATTTGAATGATCTAACAAACATTCAATTGGTAATGATTGGGAGAAGTGTTTTTGGCAAAGGCAGGCTCAGTCATTTCGAAGATACGGAGCTAAATGTGTAAAAAATGGCAGTTTTTGAGAGAACTAAGCATCCGATTTAAATGATTCAAAGAACCCTTTGTCTTAACAAAATAATTAATTTTGGAAAAAAAAATTGTTTCAACTTTTTTTTTTCAAAAAAAAAAATTTTTTTGTTTATCAAAAATAATTCAGATTTTATTTTTAATTCTGACTATAGTTCTAATATACTTTAAACAACTAATTTTAACTTTGCAACACGATGCCATACACTCCACTAGTTAATGATTATATTATTATTAATGATATTAATTAAAACTAAAAAAGCAAAATTTCTAATCTTTAAATTCATGTTTTCTGACTATTTTTCGCTATAAGCGAGGAAAATATTTGAATACTACTGCAGCAGAACTCAGAAACAAGCAAAATTATAACCTTATTAAGTCCCCAAACAAAATTTTCAATTATTTCCCAAAAATAGATATAAAATGAAATATACTATTTATTGAAAATTTTGTATTTTCTTCCTTATTAACTTCCCGTAGGGTAAGTTATAGTAATCGCAAAAAAATCGAAAATGAAAATTTTTATATATCTTTACGTTTCAAAGGTTTCTGAACATTTTGGCATACCTTAGAAAAAATGGATGTATGTGTGTGTGTGTGTGTGTGTGTGTGTGTGTGTGTGTGTGTGTGTGTGTGTGTGTATGTGTGTGTGTATGTATGTATGTGTGTGTATGTATGTGCGGATACAAATTTTCGTCGACGATTTCGGGAACACGGATCAACCGATTTGAACAATTCAAAAAACATTCGATTCGTATTGATAAGGAGACGTGCTGATTAGTTTTTGGCGAAGGCAGGTCTAGCCGTTCCGAAGATACGGGGCAAAAAGTGCCGAAAACGGTAACTCAGTTTTTAAGAGAACGGAGCGTCCGATTTGAATAATTCAAAAAACGTTTCACTTGTATTGACAAGATGAAGAATCTATAAAATTTTCATGAAGGTAGGTCTAGCGGTTTCGGAGATATGGAGGAAAAAGTAAAAAAATGAGCCATTTGGCGGTCAAAAATGATCATTAGACATATGCACATCAAATTATCAGATACTTTATAGAGATTTTAACAATAAGTATACATTTTGTTAACATTCCTATGGGTTCCGTACCAATGCTTATGCGTTAGACAGCGACGCGGCACTTACGCGCTTTATATTTTGTCCCTATGCAGTTAAAACAGTACGATTGCTTTGAAAAAAGTTCAGATCTTCCACAATATGTCAAAATAAAAAAAAAAATTTTTTTTCAAAAAAAAAACAAAAAAAAAATTAAAAAAAAAATTTTTTTTCAAAAAAAAGTAATTTTTTGGCCAATTTATAGTTTCTCAAAAATCTTATTTTTTCAAAGTATTTTTTTTTTTCAAAAATGTTAATCGTTTTTAAAAAAAATAATAATTTTTGGTACGGGAAGTTCCAGCAATTTGCCTTAAGGCACGATGCCTTAATTGCCTTAAGACAGAATTCCACTTACAGCTAGTTGAAATTATATTTATTACTAGGTACCACTCGTTCCATACGTTCCTGCAATTAGTATTTTTGTGAACATTTTACTAATACTAATGCTGGACCCTGCCACGTGGATTCGATTTGGGATATGGATGACAATAGGTAAATATTTTGTGAATTTATAAAGACTATAATTGCACCAATTTTGAAGATCAAAAATATCATTCTTTTAATTTTATATCGTGTATCTAATCTAATGAAATAAGTAAAATATTACCTAAATATTCTAAAATGGGTTGTAATAACTATGTTTGCCTAATGCTTGGGTATATTTTCTTGAGATATGTAGTCTCATAGAAAGAATCATACAAATTCATATATACAATTTATTTATTAAAATTTTAATATTTTATATGGGTTCATAATCTGAAGAATGCTAGGCAATACAATTAATGATATCATTTTTTAAATCGTTTGGAATTGTTCATATCATTATCATAATTCAAGTCCAAGTCATCTTAAATAAGTTTTCATGTTATTATCGGAATATTTTATGTTATTATAGGATTCTTAGTTTTTGTTCTGACGAGACATTGTGTACGCAAAAATGATGACACCACTTGGAGAAGCGTAACGCCTCGTTCAAAGATACCTATAAGAAATAATCCTATCCCCAGCGTAGAGCTGCCCATAATATAAATTATGCTTATGAAAATTGTGTTGAAATTGAAACAATGGAGGAAGTAAAGCAATCACCCATTTCAATGCATGAATCTTTGGTCGTTTTACCAGACTTAGTCATGCCCACGAAAGCTTTAGCAACAACATTAACAAACAATAGTTGTGATAAAGAAGAAAAATATTCACCAGACCTTCAACAAAATGTTGATTCACTAAATGAAAAACATGTACTAAAAAATGAAAGATCTGACCAAGTTTTTGAACCTTCGGAAACTGTTATGGCCTATTTTGATGACATATTACAAAATGAAGATACCGAATCTTCCACGTTTAAATCGTCTCCTGAACTTCGAAAAAGCTCTTCAAAAAGCAATAACTCATCCATTAAATCAATTAGAAGTAGTTCAATATCTTCCACTGAATCTAGCTTACTACGTGACGGAGCGCTGAAAGATTTTCCCGATACCTGTGAAACTAAAAATGAAATCGATATCAAAAATGAAGAATTCAAAGACAACGATGATAAAGCTCACTGTAATGACAATATTCAAATAGTTAATCCTGCAGGACTGGTGAATTCTCAAAGTGATGATTGTTATAAACCCGAAATTGATAAAACTAATACAGGATCTAGTTCTGTAAAGCTCAGAGATAAAAATTCTGACTCAGCGTCAATTAGAAGTTCCTTATTCGCCCAAAAATTAGAGAAAATTCTTGGAGATGGAATTGGAAGTCAAAGTATTGAAGGAATTCCGTCTATTCAGTCAGTTCCAATTGAGCAAAATAGTCAATTGAGCAAAATAGCTCAAGATTCAATTGATGCGACTGATCTGTCTACAAGTACTAACACTCCTTTTAATATACCCAGTCCTCCAAAAATGCCTACTCCAGAAATATTAAGAAAAATAAACTCTACACCGGCTAACTTAAATAAGCTAAGAATTTCAGTGATCCCATTATTTGAAGAATTAGAGAACAGAAAAAGTAATCTGAGGCATAGACCAGAGAATGTACTCCATAAAAATATAAATGAGACACAATTATTGAACAACCAAGAAACTTTAGAACTGCAAGGAAAGCGGCAACCCGAAACAAATGCAATTGCAAACAAAATTATGCATTAGTAACAGTTACACCTTATTCATCGCCGGAAATATTAAATGATTCAATGCCTCCTAATTTATTGGAAGAAAAAAGCGATAAACTAGAGAATAATATCAATGATGGTGCCAATGTCATGTCGCGAGCAGAACTTAGAGACAAACTAAACTCTATTCTCGCTTTTAGACTGTCACAAGTAGAACCAAAACAAAGTGAACAAATCTCAATACTGCCTGAACATAATAATGAAGAGCATGACGCATAATTTACTAAATTATAAAAATGTTTTTCTTGATCGCAGCATTTATTTCAAACTATTTCTAGGAAATGGTAAAATGAAATACTATCACTTATTATTGCTGTTAGTAAATTTTTTAAACGTATATTGCACAACTTAAAATAACATAATATCTAGGGAGCTGATTTGATATTTTTTTGTTATTGTAAACTTATTCATATTATAATTTTTATCATGCTTAAAATACTTTTAACAAAAATTTTTATTGCTTGAAATTGCTAGATGGGAACAAAATGACATGGTGATTTATTTTTCAATGATATTTATTTAATGATATCATAACCAGTCTCAATGGTTTTCACTCATCTTTGGTTAACTGACTACCTGTAATTTAGTTTTTTAATTATGTAGGGACTATAAATAACATATTTATTAAGTAAAAATACAACCAATTACAAAAACCATTTCTTCTATATAGTACTGACAAATAGTATATATAGTGAGGACATACTGAGATGCTAATTTTTAACTTCCCGATGGTTAAGTTATAGTAATCGCAAATAAATTGAAAATGAAATTTTTTGCATATGTTCACGTTTTAGAGGTTTCTAAACATTTTGTCATACCTCAGAAAAAATTGATGTGTGTGTGTTTTGTGTGTCTGCATTTTTTCGTTCACGTTTTCGGGCGCACAGATCAACCGATTTGAATGGTTCGAAAACTATTCGATTTCTATTGATAGGAAGATGTGCTGATTAGTTTTTGGGAAAGGCAGGTCCAGCCGTTACGGAGATACGGAGCAAAGAATGCAGAAAATAAAAATAGAGTTTTTAAGAGGACGGAGTATCCGATTTGAATGATCAAAAAAATATTCAATTTGTAATGATTGGGAGAAGATGTGAAGGCGAAGATACAGAGCTAAATGTACAAAAAATTGCAGTTTTCGAGAGAACTAAGCATCTGATTTGAATGATTCAAAAAACTATTTTTTGGTTTCTTAAAAACTAGTTATTTTCATATTTGAAATAATAACAAGTGGTGCGTGGCATCGTGCCTTTAGGCAAATTGCTGGTACTTTCCGTACCAAAAACTAAGTTTTAAAAATTTTAAATTTTCAAATTCAATTTTTTTGCTATTACTATAATTTACCAGGAAAGTTAAAATAAAACATTGTTCTATTGCACATCGCAAAAAATAAGTTTTTATTTTCTGTTCACAATGATTTATAATGACTACATGAATCGATTTTTTTTAAATAACTTCTTATGCACACTTTAGTTTAATAATCTATTGACAGACAATTAGATGATAGACTAACTTTTAATTATCAATTTTCTTTTAAAACATTGTTTTAGTAAAATTAAATGATTATTGAGTACTATTTTATTCAACTATAAAATTTAAATTTTATTTGCATTTCATATTTTATTAATTGTTTATCGTTATTGTAACCATAAGTGTAGATCTATTATTGTATGATATTAACATTAAAATTAACCTATAATTAAATGTATGGGTATTGCATGTATGCATAAAATTATAATATATATATAATATATATATATATAATATATAAATATAATATATATATATATATATATATATATATATATCAGTACATGTATAAATTATTTATATACACAAAATATATCTATGTATATATATATATATAATGTTGCATAGATATAATTATTTTACCAATTTATCAGGTATATTACTGTATTTACTTTATGGACTTCCTAATACGATGAAAGAGATGGCCAGGGATAAAAAAATTACGAATCATAATTTTCCCTATTATACCAAAGATAAAAAATGAATACAAGACCAATGAAAAGCAGTTATATATGTATATACTATATTATGTTATATTGTATTTTGTTGAATGAATATAAATTATTTATTATTTTTACATAGATATTATTTATTGTTGTACTTATTAATACTGCGATTATATTCTTACTGCTAGTAATAATCAATTAATTATACTAATTAACAATACGCGAAATGTTACATTTCCAGAAGTATCGCCTGACTTTAATATTTATAAAAATGTTATTGAAAAAGTATGACTTACACATAAAACCTAACTTTATGTATGTGTTATCAAAGAGACGTCTGGAGGTTGCACTTATGATAGAAATGTTATTTGAGGCTTGTGTGTTTTGGAGGTTAGGTTTTAATAATTCACTTTTATTATGCTTATATATAAAACGTGTACACTTTCATTTAACACATTTTATCATCTATTGCATTAATTTGGAAAAGGTATTTGAAAAATCGTTACTTAAATATATATTTATCATTACTGCAAAACGCAAGTTTGTCGAAGATTTTAAGTATTAATTAATTAATCATTAATTATTTTGCAAAATGTTCAATTATCTATTTTTCTTAAAAATCTGTATGAAATACTACGTCAATAATAATTCAACGTAGTAGTCCAAATAGAGAAGATAAACCTGATTAATTTGAATAAATGAAATGAGGACAAAATATTCGCGTATAAAATATATTTTCATTAAAATTACAAACATGTTGTTATAAAAAACTCACTTTTAATTAATCTGCTTTCACCACTTATAAAAGATAATAAAGGTAAAAGGTTGTTGTACATGTAAATTAAAAAGTTTGTATATGCTTTATGAAGATTCTACCGAAACTTTTGATTTTTTCAATTTTTCAGTTTGAAATTCTGTGAAGATCTTTGATTTTATATAAAATTTTATCGATTCATAAAATCCAATTTTATGTTTGAAAATTGTCAAATTTTATGTGACCGTTGAATTTCATGTGTATTGACAATTTTTATGTATATTATCTATCCTTTAGTAAATGATCTTTTTTGATCAACGCTCGCAAGTCTGAGTTATTCATTATTATATAATAAACTAATTAAAGAAGTGTTATCGGTTGGCAACGAAAATCGCAAAATAATTTTACTGAAAATTTTATATTAGCGACGTTCACAATGGCAATGGTTTCAATTAAACCAGTGTAATCTTCTATTTTTGCTTCCTCAATATAAGTTCATCAAATTCCTTTTTAGGCTATTGGCACAACAATTTCATGAGTATTGTCATTTTAGTTTATACATAACTTTGTATATATAGTTGTCAATTATTCATAGTAATTGATCCTTTTTGTGAATTTCCCGCTTTTTCTATGGAAATTTTCTGAAAAGTTTTTAAGTTTTCAGTGAGATTTTGTGCGACGAGGACACTCATATGGATCTCAATGACGTGGTCAAGGACAGGAGTTGATGTGTATATATGAAATTACTGAATGTAATTAGTTCAATTGATTTCTAATTTTTTACATTATGCTATTAATAATATGAACTAAAAATTATCCATGTATTTCTATAAAAATTGCTATAGATATTTTCGCATAATTTACAACTATTATTAATATATTATAAGTATTACATGCATGCATATAGCACGCTTCGAATCACTGCCTCAAGATCCTTTAGATCAAGGATGAGCAAGGTTTTTTTTGCGGCCCGCCAAGCATTTCTCAACTACAAATTATTTTTCTAGATATTTTATCAAATACGGCTGTAACTGCTATTTTTGTTGTCTGTCAAATACTGGTAAGAACTGTTGTTCACAAAAATAGCATTTCCCGATAAAATAAATATTAATTTAAATATTAGTTTAACAATATTGCAAGAAAAATTGAAAGCTTGTCGCGAGGTTTAAATCATCGTGAATTTAAAGACTTCTTAACAATTTAGAGCGTGAATATGGCGATGTGCTTTTCAATACCAACAAAGTTAGCTCAATAGTGATGCAATGCTTAAAGGAGTATACAACCCATATGGTAAACTACAATTGCTTTTGGATATGAAAGAACAAGTACTTTCGTTATTTTGGAAATAAAGAACAATATCCATTGCAGTATCTCGTGTTCAGAAAAAGAAAATATGAACAAATTTTAATTGTGATTCCAAATGTTCAAAGCTAACAAAACAGATGTTTTCATGTAAATGTTTTCTTCGCCTTTTACCATGCAAAATCGCAATTTTTTATAAATCTCATGTCAGCCCTGAGAAATTTTTGCTTTTGAAAAAAAAAACAGATCAAATTATGATAAATTATTTTTTTTGGAAGTACGAATGTGTGCGAACAATTACACAGGTCCACAAAAGAAAAGTCGCTGGATAATAATTCATTAATTCAGAAAAAATGCTAGTTTGAAGATTGTGCCAGTTTTCAAATGTTTTTCCATTTTTTGTGTTCCAATTTTGACTATAGATTTATCTTCAGCGGTAAAAGTACATTGGAAAATTCGAAAAACATATGTCACACACCCAATCGAGACAACTTTTTTAGTGGACCTGTGTTAATTTCAACCATGGAATTCATAAAAAATTACCACCTATCAAAACTGAGAAAAACATATCAAAGCTGCATACGTGTTGCTACCTTCCGCATTAAAAAATAGAGAACAAAATTTAAAAAAAACGGCTGATATTGATCAGCTTATATAAACAAACAGTGCCAAATTTCTCATTAAAATTTTCAAGTAAATTAGTTGTTCTGTTTAACTATTATTTGTTATTATTTTGTATTTATATTTACAGTATACACTCGTAATTATATAAAATATATTTTTTTCAATCATGTATATTTGTTCTTTGTGCCAATTTTGTAATTTTGTTGCTATTACATTATTTCCGCGCTCAGTCAACAAATCTTTTGACTTTTAGTTCAGACTTTTGAGTTTATGAAAAAGCTTCAGTTGTATTTAAAAAGAAATAGCAATTTATTTTTATCACGGGTTGTACGAACGTAACATTTTTTAAAAATTTTGTTCTTTATTTTAAGTTTTTTAATGCGAAATGGAAAACTACATACTACTCCAAATTTCCATTATTCTATAATAGTCATTTAAGTAGTCCAATCCTTTTTTATTTAGCTCGATAATCGATCAAATATTTATTATCGCCTTTTTTGTGAAAGTTTTTAATTGAAATTCGATCAAGATTTTTCTGGGATTATAAAAAGCTTTTTATCCGCTCTATCCACATTTGAAAAATAATTCTTAGATATTGGCAACCAAATGGTTACCTCCAATAAAACTTACTGATTTGCAAGCTTATCCTACAGTACAAATATTTTCCGACCTGCATTAGAAGTACATAGTTTTTGAATGTCTTGCAGAAGGAGCAATTCTAGCAAAAAAATTGAAATTTAATATTGAAATCTGAAGATGAAACTGTTTTTGAGAGAAAACTGAATTTTTTTTTCAGAGTTATTGAAATGCCAATCGTTTCGCTAAGAATAGCATAACCTAACTCAAATATGTATGTTAGTATTTTAGCGATGTAGTGAGTAAATTATCAATGTAATTTGTGTTAGCTGACCCTTTCATTTATATACCACATATTTATATATTGAGAATTAGTTAGTCATTTCTAATACTAATGATTTTCTAAAAATATTTCCTGTGACTAAACGTTCGCCGGGTCAGCTAGTATATATATATATATATATATATATATAAATTACGTGCGGCCCGCGATAAAATTTTGAAAACCAAATTGGCCCGAGGGTTACAAAGGTTGCTCGCCCTTGCTTTAGATCCTTCCATGATTTACCACTTTTCCAATAGAATATATTGAATGAAATAGGTGCATAGGGAATAAATTACTTTAGTAAAAAAAGTATGAAATGTAAATTATTGTATTAGTATTTAAATTATTTTCTAATTTCGCAAAAATAAAATTATATTAGTCAATAAATTATGAATGAAGTATATTTATTAATAATAACTAGTTAAGTTTGTTAAATTTATGTGAATCTGCAACGTACATTACACATTAAATGTGCGCCTGATATATTTATATACATATATATAATATTTAATTATATGTGTGATTGTAATCTAAATAATATAATTAAAACTAATGTAAGTTTTAAAACTATTGTTATGAAATACAACTAAGATTTTACTAAGCAATAAATTATTTGAATTTGAAATTTACGAATCATATCAATATAAATATAACAATATTTCAAAATAATTTCTTAGTTTTTACATTAAGTTATTAACTTAATATGTTCAATTAAAAATTTATGTCAATTTTGGAAAAATTAATATATTAGTTTTCTCATAATTATATCTTTACAAGTATTTTAGCATAATTTGTACTTTGTTTCCCAAAATTTTTTTGACAAAACATTTTTTTGACCACAATTTTTTTCCCAATAATTTTTTTGACCAAATTTTCTTTCTCAAAATTTTTTTTCCCAAAATTTGTTTGACCAAAATTTTTTTGACCAAAAATTTTTTTGACTAAAATTTTTTGGACCAAAATTTTTTTTTCCCAAATTTTTTTGACCAAGATTTTTTTAACCAAAATTTTTTTTCCCAAAATTATTTTCCCAAAATTTTTTTTCCCAATTTTTTATCCAAAAATTTTTTTTCCAAAATTTTTTTTCCCAAAGATGTTTTCCTCAAATTTTTTTCTCTAAATTTTTTCTCAAAAAATTTTTTTTCAAAATTTTTTATCCCAAATTTTTTTCCAAAAAATTTTTTGCCCCAATTTTTTTTCTCAATTTTTTTCTCAGTTTTTTTCCCAAATTTTTGTTCCCAAAATTTTTTTTCCAAAAAATTTTTTTCCCAAAAATGTTTTTCCCAAAATTTTTTCCCTAATTTTTTTTCTCAAAAAAATTTTTTTTCCAAAAATTTTTTTTCCCAAAATTTTTTTTCGATGTAAGATGTTTTTGCCAAAAATTTTTTCTCCAAATTTTTTTCACAATTTTTTTTACCAAATTTTTTTTCCCAAAATTTTTTTTCCAAAAATTTTTTTTCCAAAAAATTTTTTTCCCAAATTTTTTATCCAAAAATTTTCTTCTCCAATTTTTTTTTTCCCAAAATTTTTTTTCCAAATTTTTTTTTCAAAAAATTTTCCCCAAATTTTTTTCTCAAAATGTTTTTTCCCAAAATTTTTTCCCCTAATTTTTTTTTCTCAAAAAATTTTTTTCCCAAATTTTTTTTCCAAAAAATTTTTTCCCAAAATGTTTTTTCCAAAATTTTTTCCCTAATTTTTTTTCTCAAAAAAATTTTTTTTCCAAAATTTTTTTTCCCAAATTTTTTTTTCCCAAATTTTTTTTTCCCAAAATTTGTTTTCAAAAAATTTTTTTTCCCAAATTTTTTATCCAAAAATTTTTGTCCCAAAAATTTTTTTTCGAAAAATGTTTTTCCCAAAATTTTTTTCTCCAAATTTTTTTCTCAAAAAATTTTTTTTACAAAAATTTTTTTCCAAAAATTTTTTTTTCCAAATTTTTTATCCAAAATTTTTTTTCTCAAATTTTTTTTCCCAAAAATTTTTTTCCCAAAAATTTTTTTCCCAAAAATTTTTTTTCCTAAAATTTTTTCCCTAATTTTTTTTCCAAAAATTTTTTTTCTCAAAATTTTTTTCAAAAAATTTTTTTTCCCAAATTTTTTATCCAAAATTTTTTTTCTCAAAATTTTTTTTACAACAATTTTTTTCCCAAAAATGTTTTTCCTAAAATTTTTTCCCTAATTTTTTTTTCTCAAAAAAATTTTTTTGACCAGAATTTTTTTCGTAATGGTAGAGTAATGGCTTCGTACCAACAGGGTAGCGAGTTCGAATCATATCTCCTGCTAAAAAATGGAATTCAGCAGTGTACGATTAACGTTGTGGTATTTATTTATTGTCGAATAACACAAAGTTAATATTTAGATATAACAAACTAACAAGTTATAAGGCCGAAAAAAAGCATAATCCATGCGGCCTGTGTTGGCGTAATTGGTAGCACGATGGCTTCATACCCACAGGGTACCGAGTTCGATTCATACCTCCGGACACAAAATTGTGGACGAGGCATGCACGGAATCACATCCGGTCGAATTTATTGTTGAATAACACAAAGTTAATATTTAGATATAACAAACTAACAAGTTATGAGGCCGGAAAAAAGCATAATCCATGCGGCCTGTGTTGGCGTAATTGGTAGCACGATGGCTTCATACCCACAGGGTACCGAGTTCGATTCATACCTCCGGACACAAAATTGTGTACGAGGCATGCACGGAATCACATCCGGTCGAATTTATTGTTGAATAACACAAAGTTTAATATTTAGATATAACAAACTAACAAGTTATGAGACCGAAAAAAGCATAATCCATGCGGCCTGTGTTGGCGTAATTGGTAGCACGATGGCTTCATACCCACAGGGTACCGAGTTCGATTCATACCTCCGGACACAAAATTGTGGACGAGGCATGCACGGAATCACATCCGGTCGAATTTATTGTTGAATAACACAAAGTTAATATTTAGATATAACAAACTAACAAGTTATGAGGCCGAAAAAAAGCATAATCCATGCGGCCTGTGTTGGCGTAATTGGTAGCGCGATGGCTTCATACCCACAGGGTACCGAGTTCGATTCATACCTCCGGACACAAAATTGTGGACGAGGCATGCACGGAATCACATCCGGTCGAATTTAGGACACCCGGTATGTTTCCGATTATCCGGACTTCCGATAATCCGGGCCTCTAATGTTGCGGACTTCCGATCATCCGGACTTTGCATTATCAGGACTTTGCCGATAATCCGGACTTCCAATAATCCCGACCTTTGATGTTGCGGACTTTCCATTATCCGGACTTTCGATAATCCGGACCTCCTATAATCCGGATCTTTGATGTTGCGGACTTCCGATAATCTGAACTTTCAATTATCCGGACTTTCGGTTATCCGGACTTCCGATTATCCGGACCTTGATGTTGCGGATTTCCGATAATCCGGACTTCCGATAATCCGAACCTTTGATGTTGCAGACTTCCCATTATCCGGTTTTCCGATAATCCGGACTTCCAATAATCCGGACTTCCAATAATCCGGACCTTTGATGTTCCGGACTTCCGATAATCCGGACTTCTGATTTCCGGACCTTCCGATAATCCGGGCCTTTGATGTTGCGGACTTCCGATAATTCGCACAGCAACGGTTGCTAGGCAGCGGTTACTATGTCCCTATTGGAGCAAAAAAATTTTGGAAAAAATATTGCCTAGCAACCGTTGCAACTATGTTACAACATTTTTACCGTTGCCTAGCAACCGTTGCAACTATGTTACAACATTTTCACCGTTGCCTAGCAACCGTTTTTGGTCGAAAAAATTATTTGATGTTGCGGACTTCCGATAATCCGCACAGCAACGGTTGCTAGGCAGCGGTTACTATGTCCCTATTAGAGCAAAAAAATTTTGGAAAAATATTTACAACATTTTCACCGTTGCCTAGCAACCGTTGCAACTATGTTACAACATTTTCACCGTTGCCTAGCAACCGTTTTTGGTCGAAAAAATTAGCAGACGGTAACAAGGCGACGGATTACCCATTCTTCTAAAATTTAAACGGTTGCTAGGCAACGGTAACTAGGCGACGGTTGCAGACATTTTTTTGCGAAAATTTTGTTGATAAGTTGATAATTTTGAAAAAAATATTGCCTAGCAACCGTTGCAACCATGTTACAACATTTTCACCGTTGCCTAGCAACCGTTGCAACTATGTTACAACATTTTCACCGTTGCCTAGCAACCGTTTTTGGTCGAAAAAATTAGCAGACGGTAACAAGGCAACGGATTACCCATTTTTCTAAAATTTAAACGGTTGCTAGGCAACGGTAACTAGGTCCGGATTATCAGAAGTCCGTATCATTGTAAGTCCGGATAATCGGACGTCCGCAACATCAAAGGTCCGGATTATTGGAAGTCCGGATAATCGAAAGTCCGGATAATTGGAAGTCCGGATTATCGGAAGTCCGCCACATCAAAGGTTCGGATTATCGGAAGTCCGGAAATTCGGTGGTCCGGATTATCAGAAGTCCGGATTATCAGAAGTCCGCAAATCAAAGGTCCGGATTATCGGTAGTCTGGATAACGGAAAGTCTGCAACATCAAAGGTCCGGATTATCGGAAGTCCGGATTATCGGAAGTCCGCAACATTAAAGGTCCGGATAATCGGAATCATACCTGGTGTCCTAAATTCGACCGGATGTGATTTCGTGCATGCCTCGTCCACAATTTTGTGTCCGGAGGTATGAATCGAACTCGGTACCCTGTGGGTATGAAGCCATCGTGCAACCAATTACGCCAACACAGGCCGCATGGATTATGCATTTTTTCGGCCTCATAACTTGTTAGTTTGTTATATCTAAATATTAAACTTTGTGTTATTCAACAATAAATTCGACCGGATGTGATTCCGTGCATGCCTCGTACACAATTTTGTGTCCGGAGGTATGAATCGAACTCGGTACCCTGTGGGTATGAAGCCATCGTGCTACCAATTACGCCAACACAGGCCGCATGGATTATGCTTTTTTTCGGCCTCATAACTTGTTAGTTTGTTATATCTAAATATTAACTTTGTGTTATTCAACAATAAATTCGAGCGGATGTGATTCCGTGCATGCCTCGTCCACAATTTTGTGTCCGGAGGTATGAATCGAACTCGGTACCCTGTGGGTATGAAGCCATCGTGCTACCAATTACGCCAACACAGGCCGCATGGTTAGTTTGTTATATCTAAATATTAACTTTGTGTTATTCGACAATAAATAAATACCACAACGTTAGGCTCACTGCTAAATTCCGTTCAATAGCTGGAGGTAAGATTCGAACTCGGTACCCTGTTGATACGAAGCCATAACTCTACCAATAACGCCAACACAGGCCATGGCTATGCAACTTTTTTTTGGCCATGTGACCTGTTAGTTTGTTATATCTAAATATTAACTGTGTTATTCAACAATAAATAAATACCACAATGTTAATCGTACACTGCTGAATTCCATTTTTTAGCTGGAGATATGATTCGAACTCGCTACCCTGTTCGTACGAAGCCATTACTCTACCAATTACGCCAAAACAGGCCATACCAACTCAACTTTTTTTTGGCCATATCTCTTGGAAAACCTTTTTGGGAAAAAAAATTCTGGTAAAAAAAATTTTTGGTCAAAAAAATTTTGGAGAAAAAATTTTTTGGGAAAAAAATTTTGGAGAAAAAATTTTTTGGGAAAAAAATTTAGAAAAAAATTTTTTGGGAAAAAAATTTTGGGAAAAAAATTTTGGGAAAAAAATTTTTTGGGAAAAAAATTTTTTGGGAAAAAAATTTTGGGAAAGAAATTTGGGAAAAAAAATTTTTGGTCAAAAAAAATTTGGGAAAAAAAATTTTTGGTCAAAAAATTTTTGGAAAAAAAATTTTTGCTCCAAAAAATTTTGAAAAAAAAATTTTGGGAAAAAAATTTTTGGTCAAAAAAATTTGAGAAAAAAAATTTGGAAAAAAAATTTGTGGTCAAAAAATTTGTGGTCAAAAAAATTTTGGAAAAAAATTTTTGGGAAAAAATTTTTGGGAAAAAAATTTTTGGGGAAAAAATTTTTGGGGAAAAAATTTTTGGGGAAACAATTTTGGAAAAAAATTTTTGGGAAAAAAATTTTTGGGAAAAAAATTTTTGGGGAAACAATTTTGGTAAAAAAATTTTTGGTCAAAAAAATTTTGGTCAAAAAAATTTGGAAAAAAAAAATTTGGGAAAAAAAATTTGGGGAGAAAATTTTGGGAGAAAATTTTGGGAAAAAAATTTTCTGGTCAAAAAAATTTTGGGCAACAAAATTTTGGAAAAAAAAATTTTGGGAAAAAAATTTGGGAAAAAAATTTTTGGTCAAAAAAATTTAGGAAAAAAAATTTGGAAAAAAAAAATGGGAAAAAAAATAAAAGTAAGCAAAAAAAATTATTTACATGCTATGTACAATTTTTACACAAATGGGGGATATTTTATAAAATATCTGATTTATAAAATAACTTCACAAAATATAATTATTATATTGCTTAAAAACAAGGTTCATCTAAATTATCATCTTCATCATCAAACGCTTCCCCGTTGTCAAAGTAATCACAAACATAATCTGTTCCTGTGTCCATTTCTTCATCAGGATGCTCATCATCCAGTTCTTCTTCTTTGTCTTCAACATCATTATCTTCCTTATTTAACAATTCTAAATCATCATCATCTAACTTACGTTTCTTTCCACCTTGCAATTCATTTTGCTCCAGAATGCTTAGTCTGGAAAAAATTAACACTTGCTTAAATTAGTAATAACTATTTTTGGTGTTAAAGCAAATTACAGATTTGTAATGAAAAAGAAAACATTGTAAAAGAATAAATTTGAATTAGGCGTTTTGCCTTAAAGAAAGCATAAACTTCCCAATATGTGTAATTAATTGAATCAATTTAATAAGAATTGATTTTACTAAGGTTTCAACTATGTACTTATTTTGAGAACAAAAGCTTCGTTTGTCATTAAGAAATAATAGATTAGAATTCCAATTTCTATTATACATGTTCTAAGTTCAACTTTAATAAAGTTGAATTTAGAACGTTTACTTATAATAAAGTATTAGAAACAATTTTTTTCGACGATTATTATTATTATTTTTGTGACGGTAAAAACCATAGATCACTTATAGACTTATAGATCACTCTAGAATATTACGGCCCTACGACAACTCGTTAAACTTTAACAATTCGCCAAAGATTGCAAAAATTAGTATCGGTTTTCATCAACGTTTGCTGAAAAATGACTGAACCGATTTCAGAAATTTAAAAGCCATTTGATGTATCTCGATGAGAATTATCGTTTCTCAGTTTTGTGCGACGATCGGTCGAGCCGTTCCTTTGTAATTTGTAAAAAAGTGTTAAACTTTCCGTTCAGATTTAAGCTTATACTACCGAATCGATTTAAAAAAATCAAAAACTGTTCGATAGATATTAGTTGGATATAATACTGATTAGTTTTTGGAAAGTTTTGTGAAAATCTACCGTGCCGTTTTCTTGTAATTGACTGTTGAAAAAAAATTAAAGCCAATTTTCATGGAACTATTTTTGGCGATATACATCATGGTCCTATAGAACCTACTGAAATATTACGGCCTTACGATAAGTAGTATAATTTTAAAAATTCATGAGTAGTTTTTTTTGACGTTTGTTAAATTTAAAATTAGACTATTTATTATATAATTATTTTTATAGATTGCAGAATGAAAGTAAAATATAAAAAAAAGACTATTTATTTGAATAACTGTAGAGTACTTGGTCTTAATGAGCATACTAAACCATTGAAGTCCTACGGAAACTGGTTCAAACATAAAAATTATTGATTTTTGATAATTTGCTTTTACAAAATACTTCGACTTAACGTGTTAGTTCGTTTTCAATAATGTGTAATAAATCCACACGGAATACTTTTAACCACTCACAAATTAATTTATTTTTTATTGATTAAGTCGATTATTTTCACATACTCGTATAGGGAAGTTCGTGTAACTTGCCTCAAGGCAAAATACCAATACCAACTAGTTTAAAATAACAAATATGGAAAGTTTCATTAACACCGCGGAAAAATTAACAATAACAATGAAGTGACCAGACAATCTTTAGCAAAAACTAACTAGCACGATTTCCAACTGATATTTTTCAAATAGTTCTTGAATACCCGAAAGTTTAGAACACAACGAACACCCAAAAATTTACAAATTTCGGCGGTCAACGATTAAATTGAAACGCCATAAGCAAGCAATTAGCATGCATTGAAATTGAATTGGCACATTTCGAGATTCAAAGTTCCTAATATATTATTACTGAACTTTTCATTAATTCATTCACTTTTGAATTACGATATATAATATATATATATATATATATTACGATATATAATAATATATATATATATATATATATATATATATATAGAGAGAGAGAGAGAGAGAGAGATTGGTAACTCACTCCGAGCGGAGTTGTATCATAGGATTTGTCATATCCGACTTCCCTAAACTGGTGCAGATATTTGCTTGAGATTTTTTACTAATACAAAGATTTAGGTCGAAAGATGCGGTGTTTTTCTCGCCTCACAGCCAGTTTTAGGACTTTTTAGGTATATAATGTCTCAAAAATATGCTATTTTGTATTCTATATTCTGTATATAATAATGCTTGTCCGTAAATGACCTCTTTTAATGGTATACACAACCCCAGCTATAAAATATTTACTATTATAACTTTTACAAAATTATGATTTCATGGTATTTTATTGTGTAAAAGTAATAGTATGCTAATATAATAGTAACCTAAATGTATAATTAATTCTCGGAGAGGAAATAAAATAATGTGAGGTATTATTTTGTGAAAAATATTATACACAAAGATTTGTTCTTATTTCATGCATAAGGTTCACTGCATTATTTACATATAAATATAAACATTTTCAAAGAATTCTATATTTTCTCTTCAAAAATAATTATAAAAATGATTTTGATTCCCAGGTTACCCATCAATTTGATATTTGTATGCATAAAACAGTAATTATTCTAATAAAATGATCTAAAATGTTTGAACTATTTGTAAACGATTTCTAAAGTTTTAATAAATCCTTAGATATGTTAATAAAACATTATAGAACACATTTGTGTCAAGTTAAACATTTCAAAGTTGTCAGAGTCGTGGGGTTGTTAAGTGGATATAACTACTCTCTGAAGCGGAATCAAATCCTAACCGATCTGGCTTCGGATATGATAAGCCATATATATATATATATATATATATATATATATATATATATATATACGCATATACGATACTTCTATAACACGGATTCGCTCTAACACGGTTTAAGATTTGACACTATCCTCCTTATAATACGGTACTTTTGAAGCATGGGTTCGCTCTAACACGGTTTCACAATTGAGCAAATCTCTCATAAAATAAAAAATATAGTAAAACCTATACAAATCAAACTTTATTTAATCTAAAATTAGTAAAATCACAGTACAATAGCTCAATAAATGTGATGAAACTAGTGCAAAAATAACTAATTTTAAACTTATTTCTCGAGCGCGTACGTTCTATAGAAATTTTAGGCTTATCTAAACAATTAGTCAATTAGACAAAGATCCTTTAAATAAAATGATCATAAAATTTAAATAAAGATAACTTTGTATGTGGTAAATATATAAATATCTTCTTGCTTATATATAAATATCTAAGCCAATAATCACAAATATATTTTTTTGCAAAAAATAATGCGCGGATCTAAGGTATAGAAAACTGATTGGATGATGGAGATATCTTGCGAAAAAAGGATCGTGTTGGATAGCACTTACTCATTAATTATGACTTAAGAAAACATAATTCATGTAATGTACATTACTCCTTATAAAATCAATAAATATAACAATATTTATTATGAAATCATGATTTGTAGCTTGTTTTTTTTGAATTCTTGGAACGTAACCCTTCTTTTTGTACTAGTTCTTTGTTCCGTATAACACGGATTCGTAATTTGGAACTTAACTACCGCGTTATGCGGGGGTTACCTGTATATATTATGAGTGTGTTGATTAGACAAATAACATTAAGTAAAAAAAACTAAAGCCAATTAGGAAATCAGCTTCATTAACACTAATCGTACCGCCGCTTTTCGTATACCTATTTCTACATAATAATGGGTCAATTAACCCGACTTGCTTGGGTGCATGATATATGGAAGTTAGATTGGAAATTAATCTATTATATTTAATGAACATATTTTCTTTCATAAACGTAAATACGTTTTTTTAAGTCATTGATAATCACATTTTTACATATAAGTGAGTTCATTGCATATATTCTGCAAGCATATTTTTTGCATTTATACTATTTAGAGCAAATGTTGATGGATTTATTTTTTCTACCGTATTCAATTTAAAACCTCCTATGGAGACATATTACAAATTCATCAAATAGGCATATAACCTTATAAGACGACATTATTACAATTATACAATGCTACAATATTATAAATATGGATAGCTTGAAAAAACTCACCTAGAGTTAATGTCAATTGTCTTTGTTTTCTTAGTACTTAATTTAATATTTTGCCTATTCTTAATTCCTCCTGGTTTCAGTTCTAATGGCAAATGTTTCCAAACAATGTACATTCTTGTGTTTTGTTTAGAATTTCCTAGAAGCAATGAAGTTATTCAACTGATTTCCGACAAATAAATTACATATACTCACAGCATATCGATTACCATAAGGCTGAACAATGGACTTCTCTACAGTTTTACTCTTAGGCATGATAGCATTCTCTTTGTAATATTCATTCAATTCTCTTTTTAACATCAATATATATTCTTCTAAGGGACTAATCTGTAATAGTCAAACAATTAATAATTTGACCAATGTATAACAAATTATTTAATATATGTCTTTTATAACATATTCACATAACCAAACAGATAGTTAATTTCACAAAAGAGTGCATTTGTCTTTAAAAGTAAAAATATGAAGCAACAGTAAGGTGATCTGGGTAAAGCATGTTTTTAACCTACTATCATTTTTTTTTTAAGAGCAACAATTGTCCTGAATTTAGAACTTTTGACCCGCGTTTTCGAAATATATAGGCTCAAATTTAATCTTTGCAAACCAATCCTGGTAATAAAATTACAATTACGCATGAAATATCTGAAAATGATATATACAACAAATATGCTTATATGAAACAATGAATTTAATATTCATACAAACTTTTCAATTTATAATCAAATTTGAGAAAGATTTGAGAAACAATCTACATATTATTTGAATCCCTGTTTACTTAACTTTAATATTAAATATATAGTTGATGTATAGTTAATAATAATAACAGTTAAATATATAGTTAATTGACATACTGTGACAGGAGGAGCTTTATTCATCAATGGTGGAAAAGTTAATGGAGGTCCAATAATGGCTTGGTTTAATTCTGCTCTTAAAGCAGGTCCACTTAAACCCATTGCGTTTAATTGATCAGATGTAAAACTCATGCTGCTACCAGGGCCACCCCTACCCCTACCTCTACCTCGGCCTGCCATAATTCTACAAAATTTATAAAAATATATGATATAAGTAAAAAAATAAATATTTTCATTCGGTGCTAATTTGATTCAATGGTCTTTGAAGTATTTCTAGAGGGTTCAATTTCTTCTTCTAATTCTTTTTTGAAGTTGTCCTAAAAACAAAAAAAAACTATTTAATTCATACTAATATTTATTTAATATAAATACTGAGATATGTATGTGATTATATATTAATATGAATGATTATTTGGGTAATAGTAATATGAATATTGATATATTATATATAAATGATTATATACAGTATTTAAAAATTTAGAAGGTAACTTTAAGTAAATTTATTTCTTAGAATAACTTATTTTATATATTTTCTATGGCTGACAATGAGTTATAACAATCACTGAATTTCAAAAATATAATTATATAATCGAAAAACACTTCTGTTTATAATGATTTTAGTTTATCTGATTTTAAAGAAAAATTGACAATCTTTAGTAAATCATTGGCTCGCAAACGCAAGATAACTAGCAACCCAGTTCCTTAATAATACTAAAGATACATTGTATATTTATTAAAGAAAATGTAATGCAAACAATCAATAATGAAAAGCTTTATGAGCCACGATCATCATAAAAAACCAAAAGCAATTAATGCAATGCTAAAGATCGAATTAACCAAAGCAACTGTGTACAAATTCATATTAGAATAATATAAAAAGGATTCACTGGCAAATAAAATAGACAAAAGTATCATAATAATCATATCTTAAATTAACTTGAGTTAGAAAATAATAGTACATATCAAGCAATTTTTACAAAAGAAGCAATTAAATAAGTAGGCATATATATATATATATATATATATATATAAGATTTATTATATATGGTATGATTCTCAGATTCATGTATTTAGACTGTCAGTAACAAATATTAAAAGTAAAAGAATTTTATCCTCAAATGACTATCATAACAAACAATTAAAGTTATTAAGAGTATCAGACACCTATGTGTCTATTTATCGTTGCATATTTGTAGTTTATATTAAGTGTTGTGTATATATTTTAAAAGCTGTTTATGAATTTAAAATTTTCTCATCTGTTTCCTTTAGTTTTTATTTCTTAGTTTGCAATTTATAAAATTTGCACACTATGAAATGCAATTATATTGTATAGTTGCCATGTGCATTGAGTAAATAAATAAATAATATGTATACGTACAATGTCGTAGATTATTTTGATAACCAAGGAACAGCTGGGGCAAGTGGCGATTTCCACACCTGATTGTAATTCTTCCTAAAGTAATTTTACTGTATGAAATATTAAGTAAATTCATTTTAGAGGAAATAAGTGAAAATCACATGCCGCTAAAATACCTTAGTAACTTGAAAACTATCTCCACAAGGACATGGGTAATAGTAAGTATTGTCTTCTTCGTCGAATTCGAAATCTTCAATTTCTATTTCATCGTGATATACAGGCATATTTTATTAATTTATTTATTCCAGATTCACATGAGCACATTTGTATAAAGTGAGGTTAATTTAATGCGGATTGACGAAGATGTCAAAGTTAGCTGTCACTTGGCTGTCAACTGTCAACGTCATACGCGCATGCTTGCACACGGCATCGTTTTCCGCATCCGACAGTATTGGCGGTAAATTTGTCTTTGCCAGGCAACACAGGTCAACTATTATATTACATGAATATTTTTTAATTAGACACATTGTCTAGACAATATTAGAATATGATATATTCATACCTTGTTTATCTATGAAAACTACTAGTGGTGATGGCATCGCGCTTTAAAGCACATTTCTACAATTTTATTTCTCCAATAAATACATATAATACAGTTCTTCATGTTCTTTATTATCAAATTGTGGAATAAAATTTATCTTAAATATTTCTGCAAAACCTTCACTTAATGTTGGTTCAACAAAATTTTTTCTATAAGAAAAAAGTATCATATCTTTAATTTCCTCATGTGTTTTATCCGTTAGTTCTCTGAATATATTATTATGTCTGCAATGATCACACCGCAACGAACTTTTACTTTTCCAGCCCCAACAATGGTAGCGGTTGCGAGATTCTTTATCTGCATTTGTATTATCCACAACCACACTTTTGCCATTCTGCAAAGCATTCTTCATTGCTGCAACACATTTTTGCCAACTACCCGATGTATCACGATTTACATGAACATATCCAGATTGTACAAGTTCTTTGCTGATGAAAGATTTTCCGGACCCTGGACAACCCACTAAAATGATAACCTCTTGTTCACTTTGAATTAGTTTTGCATTAGGTGGGTCAAATCTAGAAATATGCAAATTTTTTAAGGAGGGAGGATCAAATCCTGGTTTATTCCACTGTACTACTTTTGCTTTTTCAAAGTGTTCTTGAGGTGTGTAGAATGCAATTCCCAGATTTTTTGCCATTAATCTATCTGCAGCAGAAAAGTCTTTTTTTCTGCCAAGTGCCCATTTATCTGGTCTACCAGCTGCATCACTACAATAAAAACAATCTTTGGATACAGAAACTCCACAATTTTTCTGTTCTGTCAGCACTTTCCACATACCAGTAAGTGGTTTTCCGTAAATTCCTTTTGTGGTTGAAATAAAAACTTGCATTGGAATATTTAACTTATTTAAAATTGCTTCAACCTTGCCCTTAAATTCTTTGGGGTCAGTTTTTCCTTTACCAATGCCAGCTTGGTTAGTAAATATAACAAGCTTGTATCCTTGTGTTTTCAATTCTTTCAAATGTTTTGGTATTTGTTTAAAGGCTATTTGCCAGTCATCTTTATTCTTTGCAAAAACTAGACCAGATTTTGTTTTAATAAGCGTACCATTGCAGGAACTTTCCGTACCTTAGAGAAGTAGTCGAAAATTTTTACATGTTTTCCAATAAGTCATTATATATGTTATTTAAATATTGCAACTTTCATTATTCGTATTTTATAGACTAGAAAATATAGAGTTCATACATTATACATTTTATGACAACGTATGTTATAAATATGTTTACAAGAAGAGCAAAAAAAAAATAATAAGCGGAGTTCGATTTAAAGAATCTTATTTTATTTTTCTAACATAAGAATTATGTATACTGAAACGCAAAGTTAAAATTATTTATATAGTGAGTTATAATTGAAATACTATATTTGATTTTTTTTTTTTTTGAAATTTCTAAATTATTTTTTTTTGTTTTTCCAAAAAACTAATAGTTTCTGCATTCTGACAATACAAACAAAATGCTTTTGTATCATTCGAGTCAGATGCTGCGCTTTCTCAAAAACTGAAATTTTAGCCCTTTTTTCTCCGTATCTCCGAAACGGCTGAATCTGTGTTTTCAAGCACTAACCAGCGCACCACCTCGTCAATATGAATCAAATGTTTTTTGAATAATTTAAATCGGTTGATCCGTTCTCTTGAAAACTTACATTTTTAGCACTTTTTGCTCCATATCTCCCAAGCCGCTGGACCCGCCTTCCTCAAAAACTAATCAGCACATTTCCTCATCAAGGAATCGAATATTCACGGATCAAATTGGTTGATCCGTGCGCCCAAAATCGTGGACAAATTTTTTTATCCAATTATTTTTTTCTATGTATGCCAAAATGTTCAGAAGGTCCTAAAACGTAAAGATACATCAAAATTTTCATTTTGGAGTTTTTGCGATTACTATAACTTACCCTACGGGAAGTTAAAAACTAAATTTTTATTTCAATTTTCACAAATAATGTTGTAATATATATGAACTAGCTGGTGACTTAATGAATAAAAGATTAAAAAAAATTACCAAGATTCCAACATGGTATGAAACTAATTTTGATTGGGGTATTTGCACGTTTTTCATTGCCTTGGAAGCAATCTGGAAATACTGTCCAGATAACAGATATTGGATTCGCACATCAGACTGAGGTCATTTTATTTATTGCAATAAATTTTCCTCAAAATGGAGTATGCTCGGGTAAAAAATTCTACATTTTGATGTGGTTCGTTAGCATGGTTTTAAATTGTTTAGGATTTTTAAAATTGTTTTTGAGTTGAAGTCGTTTTACAAACCAAGTTTTGGCTAATTGATTTTTGCAGTGTGGACAGTTAATTTGGTAGAACAAATTTCATTCAGGACATTCGATATAGGAATCTTTGTTTTAGTATAAAATAGTGTTAGTTGTTGTGCTACAATTTTAAACTAGTCGGAGTCCTGATTTATAAAAAAAAGAGTGCGCGTAAGGATCACACGCGATTGAAGTAAAACTTTTAATATTGTATGAGTAGGCAATTAAGATAAAAATAAAAAAAACATCATATTTGAATTTTAAAAATCATCTTTTAATAATCATATAACATCAATAATAATAAGATCTCCTGAGCATCGGCACAGCTGTCCTACTGATATTAAGAGTTTGAATATGATGTGAAGCTTTCTTCCTAATTTTGTAACCTATCTTACCGGGAATTCAAACCATAAACGTAGAAGTTCATCATTATCGCCACGTTCTATGTACACTAATTTTCCCACACAACCATTAGCTAAGCCATCACTTACATCAATATTAGTTGTTATTATGTAAAATTTATTCAGAACTAAAATTATTTCATACGGCAAAGCCCCGGTATCAATAACCGATTTTTGTGAAACTGCTGACGAATGTATGATTGTTGATCTGTCGCATGGCAACCTACATAAATATCCGTGGCAGTAGATATTATTTTGTCTTCAACGAGATTCAATATAAATTTATTATATTCCATGGCACATTTATTCTCTAAGAAAAGTCTTATTCCATGAGGACATAATACAGCAACCTCTTCTTTTGTAAAAAAAACGTGATTCAATTAATGCAAGTTCATATAGGGTTTAGCGCTCGACTTACGCATGACATGACGGGAGTGGATACTCGCGACATCAGCGCTTACGGCGTCGTAGTGTTCAACTACACGTTGGCATTTTCGTTGCATTTGTACGGATTTACACCCGTGTAGCCTAAAGAAATTTTTACACCCATATCGCGCCTAAAGAAGTTTTACTTCAAAAACAAAATAACCTGGAATGCCTTAACGCATTTCT